ATATATATATTATATGATGCAGTAAATAATTTATTAAGAAGAAAATAAATATGATAAATGGTCAAGTAATGATTCACAATAATCACTAACTGTTTTTTATTTACCCTTACCTTTATGAATTCATAATCAATTAAGATTTTCACAAACAATGTCGAAGGGTTAAAATGGAAAGTTTAGTACTATAATAGCAATGCGCTGTACCTTTACTTCTCTAGTTTCGTTTTCTACTTCATAAACAGGGACTCAGATGTGGTACTGAGATATTGCAATACAGTATACACTACAGTATCCCATACATTTTTTAGCTATATCTATGTATTGTGAATTTAGATAAGTAAAAATGTATAGTAGTTTAATTAGAAATTCGTGCTTAAACTATTTTAGGGGAAAAACCTATGAGGACTTCTTCTTGATCTTTGAGTTTGTTAGAGTTGTCGATATCAACTCACCCTAATTTCATTCAATCTTGCAAATTATACTACATCACGGTAAAAAGTAATTAATCAAATCGTATAATATACATTCGTGAGTTAAACAAACAAAATATAAATAAATATTTAATGGAGGAACTTACCATAAAATTTTGTTCTTGTTTTCTGAAAAAAGTTCTAGAAAAGGCAAAAAGGAGTCTTGAATGATTTAAATTCATGTGGTGATCGACATTTTGGCTGTTAACCACATCTAAACTAATTTTTTTATTAATTATAAAGTTACTCAATAAAACCGCTAAAAACACGTGATGTTGCAGACACATCCATTGGTCCGTTATTTTAAATATTTTATGATAATAAAAAACAATAACATTTTTCGAATTCCTAAAATCTAAACTCTGGTCTCTAACGATTTAAAACCATAACAATTATGTATGGATAGTGGATACTAAAATAGTCATAAGTTATGACTCATAACACTTATAAAATAAAAAATGGCAAATACTCCACAAACAAGTTATATTAAACAATAAAAATTATAAAGTTAAATAAGCTTTACCAAGACTAGTCATAATATATCCTCATACGATAGCTGCAATATTGCAGCTTTAACCGATCTATTTAGTTTCTTCAAATTAATATAAAATATTGCTTTCTGTGACACTGCTGCAGAGGTATAGCGTATATAGTATATTCGTATAGACGTATATTATATTAATTAAAGCAGTGCATGCGTGCAGCAGTCGTGGTTGCATCAAATATACGACCCTTAAGTGCAATGGTTATTCGAATATAAAATTATAGAGTGTACCTCGTCTAGCGCCAGCGACCCGAGAAACCGCATCCTTTTTCCCTTCGGACGTTGGCGGTAGTTCATTTCTCGGTTCACCGCACTGTATACCACGATGACTTCATGACTTCACGACATTACAATAATACCGTAATATCGCTATAAGCTATATATGCATTACAATACGCATTAGCAAAATTGTTTTCTTTTTATTTACGCGCCCATAATACGTAGATTCGACGAATAACGAAATGTCATTCTTCAATTTCCATTGACCGAATTTTCATTATCTGAGTATATAAATGTACCTACTGCCGTTATTATCCAGTTTTATACTCGCCTGCTATAAATCTTTAATGATTCGTGCATAGTCAGTTATATTATGACTCAATATACACAAGACCAAATAGTCACGCTATCCACGAAGTACAAGTATAATATTATATTATTATGTACCTACACCAGCGGTCCTCACTAGGATTTTAGAAAAGGCTAAATCTAATTTTTGAAAATGACTTTCCGCATACAATTTGAATGATAATAATAAAAAATAGACAAATTTTCAACTGTTCACTAAATTTAGTGTAGAATAATAAAATGAGAAAGGGTATTTTGTTAGAAAAAGGTATTGTATAGAAAAAAAATTCATGAATGACACAAATGTTTTTCTTGAACTTATATAATTTTAATTTTAAAATCAATTCGTAGTTAATATTTTATACAAATCATTTATATTATTAGTATAGTATACTAAATTGAATATATTTATTGAATTATTAAATTTATATTGATATAATTTTATTTAGTTTTTAAATTTATTTATTTGATTCAATGTTGTTTTTATGTAGATGGACGATACCTCTCTCATCTCTGTTATTTTTATGATTCTGACAATAAGCGATAACGAATAAACTGTTTATACAAGACTACGTAGTGGAAAATAATAAACTCATAATCGTGTAGGTACTTACTTATCTCTCCAACTGATAATTCAATACGAGTTGAAAATAGAAAGATAAAATAAACAAAAATAATAATATAAAAAGCGACAGCAATGCACTACATAATTTATTCATACACATAAACAATAGTAATAATAATTAAAATTACAAAATTAGTATTTAATAATTTTAGTCACTGATTATAAAATTTTGGATTTTAGAATGTACAATTTAATTTTAGTGCGGGCCGCACAAAATTTGTTGAAGAGCCGCATAGTGGGGGCCGCTGATCTATACTTATTACGGGTTGGTTTTTTAACAATTATTGTTCTATGTTTTTATTAAATGACCGCGTAAGTACGTTATATAAGTTAAATTACAGCATTACACATACATTCATGTTTAAAATTGTATAGCCCTTTAGTGACAGATTTGAGCATCTCAACATAACAACTAAACAGACACATTATTTATTTATTTTATTTAAAAGAATACACTTTGACTACTCAATCATTATTTATTAGCGTTAACATTAATTACATTAGATATTTAAACACATCATTATTACGTGCAATGTGGCATATGCATATATTAATAAAAATAACAGTATACAATACAGACGATATTTTTCTAATTTGATATAAATCTAGTTTAGCAGCCTCTCTAGGTCTCAATTTGCTGATTTTTTTTATAGAAATCTATAACATGATAAAAACGATAGCAAAAAAAAAAAAAATTGTAGAAATTATTGGTTTTTGAGTTAGGTTTAAACAAATATCATTTTATCAAAAAAACATTGAAAAAAATCGAATTTCAAAATATTTTCATTTTTTAAAACTTATATGTAAATCTGGGAATTGTATGTAAATACATATTTTTACTAAAACATGATAAATTAATTATTGCAAATGATAAATTCATTTCATTTGATTTACAATGAAATAAGACATATTTTATTTTATTTATTTTTACATAATTTATTAAATTTCAACTTCTTTTTTTACATATTTGGTAAATTTTGATAATTTTGGTGGTTTTAGTAGTATTATATATTTATGTTTCGTTAATAGTACTCGTAAAAATTTTAAATGTATGATGCATAGGTTTAAGTATATGAAAGTATCAGTTAAATATTAATAATTTGATTTTGGTTTATCTGTTTCTGTTCGATAACTGTACCTTAATGATCTTTGTCAATTCTTTGATTATATTTTATGTTCATCATTCAGCAATTATTTGAAAAAAATCTATATTTACGAATTTACAACCATGTTAGTACTTGTATTTGCGTGGTTGTGAAAATATCTGTGATGTGGAACGCTATTTTAGTAGGTATAAGTCAGTGTTAAGAGAACGTCGCATCCGCAAGTGTTGTCTCTGTCTTATACACGTACAACATGGTAAATTTTCATTTACCAGTTTTAATAGTGAGCTTTTAGTTTGATATTAGAGTGAATTGATCTATTATAAAACTTTTAGGTAAGAACATTATCTGTGTTCTCTCGATAGTTTTTTACGATAATTTAATTTTTAAGTGAGTTATGAGTATAAAAAATATAAATGTTTGAAAATGCTCATAATTCACTTCAAAATTAAAATATTTTAAAAAATCAACGAGAGAACACAGATAATGTTCTTATATAAAAGTTTGATAATAGATCAATTCACTCTAATATCAAAACTAAAAGCACACTATTGAAACTAGTTATATAGCGAAAATTTACCATATCGTAGGTATGACGAAGAGAACACAATGTGCGGGTGCGATGCCTTCTTATAAGACAAATTAATTGTACTTTAATTTAACACCATATTTTTGAACTTTTTTTATTTCATATGTATTATTTTTAACCACATATTATATTTTTTAAATTAAATTAATTAGAAATTAAAAACGATGAATTATATTAGGTATTCAAAATTATTTAGAATTGTATTTTAATTAAACACGTTGACATATTTTAAAATTTTTCTTTTCACATATTTTTATTTTATATTACATATATTATTTTGGCCATTTTAAATATATATATATATATATATATATATAAAAGTACATGTTTTTGGATTTTTATTAAGTACGCATAAATTCCAGCCCTACTTATATGTATCTATTGACTATGATTGGTAGATCATGAAATCAATACATTCTAAAAATAATGGAGTAAAAAAGTACGAAAATTAATTTTGTAGAAGTTTTTCCGAAAATATAATAGGTAGGTATCATGTATTATATAATGGTAATAATGCTTAGGATTAAGCAAAAAAGGTTAATTTTTGGGCATTGATTCTTTGTTTAAATACTTTTGGCTAAAACAAACATGAAATTTAATTTTACCTATCTGATGTGTGTATACTGTATTATTTGATAATATATTTTACAAGCCAGTAAATATTTACGGTTTTTTTTAAATCTTCGGTATGAACAATTCATTATTATTGCTCATCTCTAAATTCGACCCTGACCAGTGCGATGGCTTGACTTCAGTAATCAATACGGTGTATGGTGTATCATAAAGATATGATAATTTTACATTCAAATTTAAAAATACATTTGAATGTGTCAGATCGTTGTGATATACTCTATGTAATATAGATAGTTCACGGTTTTATGCGTTCACACGTCACAGTTTCGCGCTTAACTAAATTTAATATTGATGACTAATTTTATTTATTATTAATCATTATTATTCAAACTTTTCTACAACGAAAACACGGTACATCATGTTATGATACAACAGTACGTCACATGTACAGACAGATAGCGCTAAGCCATCCGACGTCTCGTCGCCGCCCACTGTCCGCGAGACGATCATCTGTTCGTGATTACTTATCTGACGCAAAATTTAGCCTTTTGTGTGTTGTCGTTCCCCGATAGTTATTGGGTATTGCAGTGCGCAGTCCGACGATTTTTCTTCGCTGCAAACACACGAACAACGAATAAACAATAAAAGCATACAAGATCCTCTCCAATCGGGGTTATTTTATTGTTTCCGAGTCATGAATGTTTCACCGTCTACCCCTAACTTATCGTGGCGAGGATCTACGTCGAAATTCTGGCGTTAATCTAGCAATTATAAAATACAGTCATGCAATCATGACGTCCGAGTGAGTAGAAAATCGTTCCGTTTGTGTTCTGTCGGGCATTGCAAACCGATTGGAAATTTATTTCAACCCGATGATAGCGGCACTAGACGTCGCGGTTTTCTTTTTAAGGTCAACCGGTTGTTGAAACAATTGATTAGTTTCGGTCCAACACTATTGATCTTAAAAGAAATCCGCATGATCTGACAAATTTACTGTAGCTCTGGGTATCATACCTGATTTTGCATGATCTTTTGCACCTGTTGGCACTTGACATTGATTTAGTTTTGTAGGGATTCTTTGTTTTTATTGAATTCATGAAGCAATAAAGCTCAAGGTTATTTCCTGCTTTTGTTACAGGATCCAGTTTGTACGTGGAAAAATTAAATTGCATGTAAGTTATTGAATCATATTAAGGTACCTTCTTAAATAATTAGTTTTTGTTATCAATTTTAGAGATGAGTTTAGTGAAATACAATTTTTATGGATGCATTGACGCCTGACATTAGGATATCAAAGTCTAGTCGGAGTTTTTCTCCTTCACAAAATCCAATGCCTAAAATGGCTAATAAACCGTGGAATGCTGCTACGTATGTATACAATTTTAAGAAATATAAACTAATTAAATTTATCTCAAAATACACAATTTTGTAACTTAATTGCTTGTTGTCATTATCAATTGGTTCTACATATTTTTCTAAACATAAACAAACAAAATTGTATTTTGCTAAAAAATTCTAAGTCGTATACTACTCTTACTAAAAAAAATTAAACAAGTGATAAAATAATAATTTTAGATACTTATAATAATAATGAAAGACTAGATAGTCTTAAAATAGTTAAATTTAAATTATAGATAACTAATTTATCTAATACTTAATATTACATAAAACACTTCAGCCGCCTTTTTTATTAATGAAACAATTTCTTATCTGTTTGTTATTCAATAAAAATTCCATTGATGTGTTAATTATTATCCAGTAACTTTGATCCCATGTTATCTTCTGCAATAGTTTTTTTTAGATTACTATTCACATTATTTACCTACTGTTAGTCAGTTATAAATGTCTAGTGTTATTTCAATCATTGAACTGAATCTGTTAAGTGATTTTTTCATGATCAATAGTTTTGCACAAATAAATATTACTTATAAATTAGAGTAAAATATGATAATTACAATTTTAAATGGAGCCTTAATATTCATTAAATTACCTTGGTTAAAATTAATATGTTAATTTAATTGTAACTGTTAAAAGTCTACAGAGTGAATGATATATAATATTGAAATTAATTAATTTAAAGTTATTTATTTATTGTTTTAAAATTATTCTATGTCAAATTTACATGAACTATGAACCTAACCATAAACAAGATCTAGTTATTTATTTTATTGAACAATAATAAATTAGTATTAACTTTTTATATTGTACATGATATATTAATAATTACATTATAAAGATAAATTAAAAACAGTTATTTAAGTCTATTTTTGAATTATAAAAATATATTAAATATTTTTCTGTTTTGTTTTCTGAAAATTCAAAACTAATTTTGCTAAACTTTATATACTATTAAGTATATATTTATTTAATACTATACTATACTATTAATATACTATTATATTATATTATGCTATTAATTGTGGCTGATCATAAAAACTTTGCAGGCTTATAGTTTTCTAATAAATTGTTATTTTCATTTTTTATAAAGTATCTTAACTATAAAGTTCCTATAATTTTCAATATATCAATATATTTTACCATCATATATTATATACTTTTATAATCCCAGAAAAAATGTTAGTATATATTTATAAGTGTAACCACAACTCTTTAATTAGTTTTTCGGCTGATGAAATTGCTATGAGTCGATGTAAATCACCTGTTGGGTCATCGGGAAGTATTCGAGTGGTCCGTCATGAAAGGGGAGGATCTGCAGATACTGGACTTATTAGACCTGATAATTTATCAAGTTATGCATCCAGTGAAGAACCCAACCCATCTGGCAACAATGAAGATGATGGTGTATGTAAAATAGACTAATACTACTATTAGCTTTTTATTATAGAATTAAAAGAATAACATTTTTATATTTATAGGATTTATTTTATTCATATGGTGGATACAATGGTGCTGAACTTGCTGATGATTCTGATGGTACAAAGACTAGAGCAGCCATGGATCATGTCCGATCGAAAATCGTGCGTACTAAAGATTTGATTCGAAGTGAACAAACTGCAAGAGATGGTATAAAACTATAAAGATGATTAATTACTGTTGATAAATTTATATTTGAACAGTTCTTTAAAGTTCAAAAGTTATAATAAAAAAAAAAAATATATTGTTTTACCTTAAGTATTTAGAAAATAATAGTATATTTGTGTTATAATAATGACTAATAATATTTTAAATATATTTGCTTGCAGATAATGTTAATGAATATTTAAAATTAGCATCAAATGCAGATAAACAACAACTGGCTCGAATTAAATCAATATTTGAAAAAAAAAATCAAAAATCTGCTGTTGGTATATCACAATTACAAAAAAAGCTTGAAGGTTATAATAAACGATTAAAAGACTTAGAAACACATGGGCTCACAACATCACATCATTTAAAACAACCAAAAGAAATGTTAAGAGATGTTGGACATGGTCTAAGGTAAATATTTTAAATAGGCACTGTATATAATTTATAATAATATATTTATTTTTCTAGACATGTTGGTGGTAATATAAGAGATGGAATTTCTGGTTTATCTGGGTAAATATATATGTTTTTATTTAAATAATTTAAGTTTTTTAATGTTTTTTTTTTTTTTATTTAAGTTTTAATAATTTTATAATTTTTATATCAAATAGGTAAGTGGGAATCCACTTTTTTTTTAGCATGTGGAGACCTTACTATTCCAATATATGATCATGATTTAAGCTAGAATACAAAACTGTAATAATAATAAAATATTTATTTTAAACACACATATTATATGGTTTAATTGTTAGTGTTTTTATTGAAAAAATAATTGGCTTAAAAATTCTTAGATAAATTACTAGTATATATAATATTAAAATATTATATTTTAAATTTCATTATTTTGAAATTTGTATGTGTTATTTTAATCCATAATCTAACATTACCATTTATTCATAGTATTATTCTTCAATAGAAATTCATAAAAGACAAAGTAATTTAGGATCTTAGCAATAAATAAATTCTTTATATTATTTTAAAAAAATATTGCCAATCAATTATCAGAATACACATAATTGTTAATAATCTATAATTAATTTAAAATATACATTTTATTATTGATGTATATATTGATCGCCATAATTTACTATGGTTACTTATCGTGACATATGTATGGATTAAAAATTAATTAAAGTATTATTTTTTTTATTAAGGTCTGTAGATTAATTAAACATAAAAAGGACATTGAAATACCAAGATAATCAACATATTTTATCTATAATTTATTTATTGAAAAAAAATTATCTTTATTGATGATGCTATAGAATTAAAATTATTCTATTGCATTAAAATTTTAGTTATGTTAAAGAATTGAGATGTAAACATTTAAATTATTTTTTACAAGAAGTATTTTTTTAATTTAGACAATTATTAAAATATTGTTTTATTTTAAATAAATAATATTTTGTACATATGATACATTTTAAATTAATGATAATGATATGTATATTCTGTATGATAAACTTTAATAAATATTTAAATTTTTATTTTAGTGTTATGACTTGTACATATTTTATTAGTTTTAAGTTTAAATTGAATATAAATGAAAACAATTGTCATTGTCAAAATATAACATAAAATTAAACATAATTATTCAAAACAATGTAGATATATTTTTAAAATATATTATATGTCAGTTGTAAAATAGTATCCTACAAATCTTAATTTTTTTACTGGAGCTTAAATGATTTCATTCAATTAAAATATAATTACCTATTATAAAATTCAAACTTTATAAGAAATTACAAAGCTATTGTATGCATAAAATATTTTTTAATTATTTATAGTTTTTATTATGACATTTTTTACAAATATCAATATTGGTATATTGTACAGTTTTAGGTAAAAGAGTTGTACAAAATAATAAAATATTTTTGATATAATAATGATAATTACTTATTTTGGTCTTTAAGCAGCTAATTAATTTTAAATTATTATAAAATATCTTTGGTTTTAATATTTTTTTATATTCATGATTTAGATCAGTTATGTCAAAACCACGAGAATTTGCTCATCTAATTCGTAATAAGTTTGGTAGTGCTGACAATATCAATTCAATATCAAGTAAATATTATATTTTTATTTTATACAATTCTTGATTGCGAGAATATTAAGTTTTAAATTATTCAACGAAGGATCAAGTGAAGCTGATCTAACTGAAGATAATAGTGATAAACAGAGTGGTCGTAACCATCATGGTAGTGCTACTTTGCCTGGCGGTGTTGGACTTCATGCATCAACTGCCGGTGCTGCTACATCACGTAGTGAAGACGGTGCTTCAGAGTGCAGGTAATAATCTTTATTTTTAATGTTCACTGATTTAGATCATGAGTAAAATAAATAAATTTTTAAATATTGGCTCTTTTTTAAAAATGTCGGATTTGTATTGATTGTTTACCAAATTATTGGTTATGAGCTTATAAATATAATATTTTATTACCATCATTTACTGTTTTCTAGTTCTGTGACAAGTGAATCAATTCCACCAAGAACAGGTCCTGGGGCGCCTCCACCTCCTGCATCTGCAACCACTTCTTTGGAACCAGTTTGGGCTGAATTAGATCATTTACGTTCAAAAATGGATCACATCAAACAGTTAGTATCCAAAGATATTGCATCCTTAAACCATTCCCTTCAGGAAGAACGCTTTCGTACTGAGCGGCTTGAAGAGCAAATAAATGATCTTACTGAGTTACATCAAAACGAAGTGGAAAATCTTAAACAAACTATCACTGATATGGAAGAAAAAGTGCAATACCAGAGTGAAGAAAGACTTCGTGATATTCATGAAATGCTTGAAGCATGTCAAACAAAAATGTCTAAAATGGAACATCAACAAGCACAACATCAACAATATGTCACATTAGAAGGATTAGACAATTCTAATGCTCGTGCATTAGTAGTAAAATTAATAAATGTGTTACTCACTGTACTTCAAGTAGTGTTACTCCTAGTTGCCACATTTGCTGGCATTTTGATGCCATTTTTAAGGACGCGTTTAAGAATTATTACTACCACTGCAGTTGTTGCTGGATTATTCATTGCAGTAAAACAATGGCCAGATAGTGTTAGCTTGAGTGATTACCTCATTAAACATGGCAAACAAGCCTTGTTATCCGTTAAATAGTTTCCTTTTTATTTTTTTTTCACAATGATATGTACATTTGTGTAAACTGTTGTGATAATTTTTTCAATTTAAGGCCAATTACCATGACAATTTATAAAATAATATTGTGACAGTATTAGAGAGAAAAACAATAATGAGCATATCATCTGTACATTGTAATATTATTCTTTATAATCTAATAGACAGTATAAATAGTATTTAACTTACTCTATCCTTCTCAACCTGCCATGACTATTGTTGTTATTAAAACCATATTTTAAATTAAATTAATTTTTTTTTCATATATATATATATATATTTAAAATATATTATTTTACTTGTTTTATAATTGATTGGATATGAGGGTTCAATGACACCCATGGTGATAGTGAAGACAACGAAACGGTAGCACTGAAATTTACTGTAAGTCATAATGATAATTTTTTATTATAGCATATTTTTTTATTTACTTTTATATCTATTACATGTAATAATATTTTGCTTGATCCTCCTCCCTTTCCCCACGAATTGATGTAGCTTAGGAAGTCTTGTGATTTGTATTATTATTGATATTTGTGTATATAAAATAAACCATGTATAATAATTATTTATATTTTATATTATATAGAATGTCTATGCCTTTTGCGATTTAAATTTTAGTCATTTTTACTGTGTAACAAATAGTATTACAGCTTATAAATAAGTTATAATCTATACATTTTTTCAATATTTTTCAAACTTAATATTGAAATATTTAAGTAGTCACTGCTTTTCTGTATTTAATTTTAAGTCATAATTTGACTTTATAATATGTTAAAATTTGATAAGCCATTCTTAAAAATTTGTTTTTATTTTTTTATTTTAAAATTTAATTTATTTTTTGTGTATCTAAAATATAGTCATAGTCTTTTATTTCCATGGACCAGCTTACAGAAATAAGTTTAAAAGTTTTTACTAAAGTATAAAATCTTCTAAAATTATATGCAGTAGAATCTTGACAATTCGATACATATGGTGACCATTAATACTGCAAGAAAATCGTAAAAATACTTTCAACAAACTAAATTACATCAAATAATTACAAATGCCAGGTTACTGAATAATGACATAATTCTACTGTATTTTACCTTTCGTTCAAATTTGTTAAAATTTCTTTTATTGTTTCAATATTTTTCTTTATATAAATTGTATTATAATAGTATAGGTACACTTAATATGATTTAATGTATTTTTGAATTTCATAATATGATTGAAAGATATTAGTTGATTTATTACTTCCATGCAATGTGTTTTGTGAGTATTTCTAAAAGTTCAACTACTGCATTTGTACAAATCATATCGCACATTTAAAGTTACCCTATAATATTGTATTATTTACATATTACATGTTCTATATTTTTTGCTCATTTATCATATTATCCCCGTCCAATGCTTCTGTAAGTCTGAGATAGTATGTTTAGATTTGAGATAGCAACATTAATTTCTGTACTCTTGACAATATCTAGTGTTCTTCTGTATTGACTTGAAATTTTTTCATTGCTGGCAAGTTCCTGTTTTTTTTTTTTTTATTAAGTTAAATTATTGACTTTTTGAGTTAACATTAACATAATGTAATATAAATGTGATATTACCCAATGAAAATTTGTTGTTAAATCCATTTAATATTTTTGGTTCAATTTTCAATGTTAATTTTATATGTAAACTAATGTTACTTGAAATTATTATTGTATGATCTGATTACTAAATGTCTAACTGATATATATATTAAACATTTTCAGTTTTAAAAGTTGATTTTTTGACCAAGTTTTTACCATTTATTGTATATTTTTCTAAATATTATGTTCCTAACGACTCATAAACCTATAAGCATATTATAATATTTTCATGTACATTTCAGTGCGATGTAAGTTTTATTCTTTAGTTACTTTCTTATTTTTATAATTTATTTGTATGATTATTATGGTATGTAAAAATCAAACAATGTAAATTATTATTATTTGTGGGCTACAATATACAAACTTAATACATATTAAAATAAATTGTATAGTGTCCAAATTTAAATAGATTTTGGAACTTTTGAATAATCATTTTAAACTAATAATTTATTAGGTATTTACCTACTTATTAGTTATAACAAGTGTAGTTTCATGAATTTTAAAATTTATAATATAATATTGAATTACACTTTTAATTAATGTAATATTTTAATAATTAATTTAATGTTTAATGTTGCTTGTATTATACATTGTATGTGAAATTTATGTTATTCACTTACAAGGATAGAGCTGATAGAGGTTATATGCGTCATACCCATTACAATTTATTGATTTTATTAGATAGGTAGGTATTAGGAAAGTACTCGAAAAAATTTATCAAGTAAACAGAAATTAACTATTAGACTGTCATTAATCATTATATTATTGTAATTTGTAATGTAAATGCGTTTTAATTATTAGGTATATTATGTTACCCATAGGATATTATATTATAGATTACCTACTTACCTTTATTATAATTTATAATAGTCGGTTATTTATATAGTGATAGGCTTATGAGCGCTGCGTAATACACTAATAATCGATGCGAATGATACGATGAAAACATATCTCCTATTGATATGATGTGTTAATAATTATAATACTTAGTATTTATGACTTACCCACAACTCACAACAATTTATTTTTTTGATAAAGTGTTTTATATTTTGAATAAATTATAAACTTTTTTGCTCATTTCGTTTTAAATCAGGCATATTAAATCCATATTGACATAATATTATTAATATACGCATCCAGTGGCGGGTTGAAGGGCTCAATTTTAACACAGCTGCAACTTTTCAAAAGGGGTGGTAAAAAATAAATACCTTAGATACATATCTAGTACTTACCTACGTAGAAAGTATAATATCATTTTTATATAGATAATACGAGTAAATTTGGAAACCACGTGGGGGTGGAGCGATGGAAAAGAGTCTTACGAATTTGTGAGATTTGATATTTGGAGGTATAGTGGTGGTAAATAGTAAATATGAAAAATTACGTCATTTAAAATTCAAGTCCAGTCCGTCATTATACGCGTTAGTTGCTGATTTTTTCGAGATGTCGGAAATCGCCGGACTCGGGATTAAAAATTATTTAAAGTTTTTAAGTAGGTAAGTACTATATCTCTGCAGATCATTGGATCTTTAAATCTTGTTTAAACTCGCTATAAGCCTATGCATATAAATAAATTATATAATTTAGACACATATCTAATGCCCTCCCCTCGGATAGTAAAAATCAATTCGTGCTTCCAATATACAGGCATCAATATTACCAGTTGAAGTTATTCATAATACGTAGTTTCAATAAGATAGTGCATCCAACAGCCATAATTATTATTATGCATGTTTTTAAAATATTTAATATTGATAATTATTAAACTAAATACCTACCTATTTTATTTATTAAGTGTGCATGTTAAACTTTTCTACAGTTCATAGGTTATTGGGTTAGAAGTTTTATAACTAATAAGTAGGTTACAATAGCTATGTTCAGCGTGTAATTTACATTTTTGAAAAACATAATCAATTAATTAGAATCAATACCAAATGTAATATTATGTAATTCTATCCAATACATTTTTCTATAATAATAATTTTTCGTTGCCCGTGAGACTTCGTAATAGGTATATGGAAGTTTCGTTGTACTTCATTCGTCATAACTACATTCTACATGTCACCGTCACGTAGCTAATATAAAGGAGCTCAATAGGTGGATAAGTATTTTATTTGATGTAATGTAATTATATTTATGTTTGCCAATAGTTTGAGCCATTTGAGGAATGCGTGCACCTCACAGGTGTTCCTGGGTTATGTCACGACCTCAGGCAAGGCTGATGTAAATGACGTCATAATTACATGTAGATCAGGTGGGCGAGCCATCGTCCAGTCGGGCGCCAACCGCGTGGTGTGCGATTAAACAATTATTGTTGTTAAATTTGTTGCTAGTGTGTTTTTTATTGAAAAAAAGAAACAACAACGTAATTTATACGATAAATAAAATATAAATAACTAAACCGGTTTGAATTTAAAAAATAATATTTTAACGTCGACCCGATCGAAACATAAAGTGTGCAGAAAAACGACTGCACGACAGTGAGAAAGAGAGAAATTTTCTCGCTAATATCCTAACCTTTATGTAATATATGGATAGGTAACTAAAAGAATTAGAGATTAGCAAATTGAAACTCTGCGAGACTGCGAATGACATACAACACCCAACATAAAAACAAAGATATTTAATTAATAATTATTTCGTTTCGTATCTAAGCATTTATAATTAAAATGCATTTTTTTTTAGCATATATTATATTTAGGCTGGTACCGATAAAATAATAATATTCATGTATATAGGTATAAGTATTAGTATTAGTATAGTATATGTTTAATAAATAATATGTTATTACGAGCAGTGAGAATATTTCTACGCGTTTTATTAATATATTATATTATATACTGTTTAACCGGCCGCGAAAGTGTTATTATTATATACTCAAGGGCGCCAGACAAGGGGAGGAGGGGTTGAGGGGCAAGACCTCTCCCTTCCTTATAGTTTTTAGTACACATTTAATGCAAAATCATTAACTTCACTCTGCAGCAAGGCACTGTTAACTTTTAAAATAAAACATCCACCGTCAATATCGCGAACTAGAATTCTATATTGTTTCTAGGAGAAAGAAATGCGAAAGTGGTTTCTCGGCCCTTCTCCAGTAAAAAGTCCAATATTGTTAACATATTTATTTAAAAAAAAATAGTTTGAAATGAATTTTTTTTTTCAAAAATAATCATGTATATTTTATGTTTATTCGTTTATGTATGTTTATTAAGTTTGAATAACTACTGTAACTAAATTAAAATTCAGAGTTAAATAATTATCAAAATTTAAGTGAAATTTTAAAAATAGGTTATGAAAAAATTGATAAAGACAGATATCAAATGCCAGACGATTTTGAATAAATTCATAGTATTGAAAAATTATACA